CATCTGGTAGGTGGTTATGAATAACAGACTATTGTCATTTTCACTTAAGGGCTTTAGGATCTACAGATCTTAAATGAGGTGATACCCCATTGCACTGTCCTATAAGAGGAAGATTTTGAAGCTCCTTTCTGGTAAGAGAATGAACTCGATTGAAGCGATCCATACACCCTTGGTGGTCCCCCATATGACCAAAGGCACACACGGTAGACATCGGGCTGAGGTCGAGAGTTCAGCACTTGTCATGGGACAAAGCAAAGTGAGCAAGTGAGCATATTTGTTTGATTGACGCAATATGTCCTGCAGGTTTTTTTTTTAACTTGACGTAAAATCACATGGAATACAAGCAGCGTTATGAAAGCAAGAGTCTGATTTTATAAAACTAACACATCTAAGTGTCTGTTATCTCCAAGCCAGGGGACACTGAAGGTGAGTCCTCATAAGGGAGTTAAGAAACGTAGAGGAGGGACAGGTAAATACCAATGAACTAGCATGCAGAGGAGGGTATAAATTAGTGTTCAGATCAGGCAAAACAGTAAAAGAAACATGAATTCAAAGTTTACTTCAACAAACTTAAATTATTTACTGATGTGTGGGATTTTGAAGGCTCTGACTGTCATTTTCTTACAATAGTCTTTGTCTTTAATTGTCCCTATTAGGCTAACACTTGATTGTGTTTGCATTTTCTATGATAGCTTCCAGCTTTCGCCTATTCAGTATAGTAATAATCACCCCCTTCTCCTTGGTAACATAACCCAATTTTGTTATGGAGAGCATATCCTCACTGTTCCAGAACCTTTAAAAAGCCGAACTTCCCAACATTCTTAGGCCACTGAATATTCACTTGACTTATTGCTGCCCAATGAGAAACAAGCAGAAGTTTGTGGGGGTAGGAAAGCTATTCCTTTCCTCATTTAAGGAGACAACCCCTTCCTTCGTCCTCCGTCCTTTTATCGCTCCCTCCTGTCTTGAAACAAACATGACATGTGGAATTATAGCAGCCATCTATATCCATGAGCCAACATATTGATGAAGCAACTGAAAAAAATTAAATTGCTGGCTCTAACAAAAGCCACTAGACATCTACTCCCAGACTTCTTGTTATGTGAGAAAAATAAATCCATGTGTTTAAGCCACTCTTATGTGGCTTTTGTTACAATCAAGCCCAAAGGTAGGGGCTGGGGAAAGTTTAGAATCCGTTGAAAGGAGGATTACACATGAAAACCTGGGAAATGCTGAAGAGTGACACTTGGTATCTTTAGCTTTCTTTAGGAATATAAGAGCCTCTGTGTTTTTCTGTGTTTTATTTGAAAGTGCTACACTAGCTCCCATATGCTAAGAAGGAAAAGGAAAAGGAAAAGGAAAAGGACTGTGGGGAGAGAGAAGAGGAGAAAAGTGACTGTGTTCCCTACATACCCCATTTTCCCACTGTCGGGAGCTGGGCTGAGGGACAGTGAAGGTAAAATTACAAAGGACCATTTTATGGACTAGTCATGCTCCCCACCCCTTTTCATACCTTCATGCTCTAACCCTTTGTGTGCTCTTATTCTCAGAATCTTTAAGAAGGTGATTTGGGATAAATGAGGCCACGAGACTGTAGCCCTGATCTAACAGGACAGATATTTCTATAGGAAAAGGAAGGGACAGGGGGAACTATGCAGAGGAAAGCCCCAGTGAGGACACAGTTGAGAAGGAGGCCATGGAGAAGCCAGGAAGAACAGCATCACCAGAAACTAGCTCTGCTGACACCTTGGGTTTCCACCCCACCCCCAGAACTGGGAAATATCAGCTTCTGTTTAAGGTAACTTGTCAGCAGTACTTGGGCATGCAAGCCCAAGAACCCTGAGAGGTCTGGGAGAGATACAAATTTAGGAAATGTGTGTGGTGAGCTGCACCCTCAACTGTCTTTTCTGGTTGGAGTCTGTGACCTCGTGGACACCATTATGTCTGTCATGTTGTAAACTTCTGTTGTTTAATTATTTTCTGGATCAAGGGGTCCAGTTAGAAATTACATGCAAATAGAAGATACGGAGGGATCTTCTTCCTAGGAGGTGGGTGAAAATTTCTGAACAGCTTTGCTTTTTACAGACAGGGGGAAAAAAAGGATTTTCTGAAGGAGCAATAACCCAGGACATGGAGAAGAAGTAGCAGGACACAGTAGCATTTGTATGATTACCTACAATGTGAACAGTGGTGGTAGAAGAACAAGGGATGCCAGGAATAAAACAGAACTTATCTTCACCCTGGGAACGTGCTGGAAAATTATTCAGAGCACAGAAAATGTGGAGGGAGTAATGCAAAGTAAACCTTTAAGCATAGGATGGAAACCTTTTCTGGAGTCTTTATCCCTGACAACGACTTTATTCTTTATTCTGATCAATAAGCCAGAGAGTGCCCTGTTAATCATTGGCTTTTACAAACAGGAATCTGAATGGAAACTGTCAGCTGGTTCAATTGGAATGGAAAAAAAATAAATACTGGAAGATCTGTTGAATCATATATAAATACTGAAATTTATATATGATGTAGTGAGAGCTTCAGACAAGGTAATATCAAAAATATACGTTTTTACTGACACAACACTAAAAATGCCCACATGGTTATATGATCTTAAGCTCATAGCAATGATATCATGTGCAAGCCATGGAAATGTTTTCAAAAACAGAGGTTTATAATCTAGTAGCAGAGACAGCAAAGCACAGGTCATTTGGACAGGCTTCGTACTGTTGTAAGCCAGGTGGCCACATTTCCCAGTATACTTTAACCCTCAGTGCATCAGGTTTAAAAGTTAAAAAACAGAAGACAAAAAACAAACAAAAATCTCCCTGACCATGGTGTAATGAATTTCAGAAAAGTATGATAAAAGAAACCGTGGGATTCAACTTAGGGAAGTGAAGTTTGGATCTAGGACCTTCTAGTCATGTACCACCACCAAGTTGTTTAATTGGTTAAGACCTCTCTCTTCCCCAAGCAGTGGGAGTAAATGTCTAACCACTGTCTGTCCAGGAAAAAAGCCATGGCTTATAGCCTTGCTGATTTGTATAATTTCAGTACTCCTATCGTAGTCAGTTTCAAGTCACCAATGCAAATTCAAAACACTAACTAAATTCCTAAAAATTTAAGCATTGATTCTCACAAGCCAGCACTAGGATGCAACAGCTTCTAAGGCTCAGTTTTCACGTCTGGGTAATGAAAATTATATCACTTCCACCAGCCAGAGCTGAAATAAGACAGAATACATACCACTGGGCTACTAGCAGGTAAGGCATAGTTGATAAATATTTGTTGTTTACTGAGCACTTACTATGCAGCAGACACTATTCCAGGGACTGGAGAGTCATCAGAGAACAAAGGATGAGTCTGTGTACCTGAAGGTGACAATCTCTATAGTGGGAGAGATTGAAGGAAAATAAAAATAGATGACTATGTGTATGTATGTGTATATAGATGGGTGGCAGATAGACTAACAGGTAGATAAATGATAGGAAAGTGTATTTGTGGATGGATGGATGGATGGATGTACAGCTATCAATTTGGTAGTGATTAAGTACTAGTAAGAAAAAATGTAACAAGATAAGGATAAGAGGAGAAAGGAGTGGTCATGTTATGTTTGATATGGTATCCAAGAAAGACTTCACTGATGAGAAGTTTGTGAGAAACCTGAGCCAAATAAAGGCATCAGCTATGGGATGATGTGGAGAAAGTGTCCCAGCAGGGGAAGAGCACATGTTAAAACCTGAGGCAGCATGGGCAGGGCATGCTACAGGGACTGCTGTAAGACAGGTGTGGTAAGAGCACCTGAGTGTGTACACATAGGGGAAAGTTCTAGGGGATGGAAGCTCAGGCAAAGAAATAAGGCTGCTGTGCAGGAGGACCAGTGGGTAAGTGGGAAAACATCCCAAACCCTGGCCTTGTCTTCAGAGTCTTTAGATATATGGAGATGTGGAGCTGAGGGCCAGTGAAGGGCCAGGCAGGACTTCTGCTCCTGGGCCTTTCTGAAAAATGTTTTGAGTAGAGACCTGCTTACTCTGTTGCAGCAGCCTCATTTCTTTCCGCTTTTATCATTCAAGTGTTGTTCAAATTACAGAGATGAATCAATAGCTTCCATGTGCAGAGGCTACCTCTGGAGACATGGGCCCTACCAGGTCATGGAAGGAGATTGAATACATTGAAACACAAAATAAATATATTAGCCAAGCTATAAAGACAGTCATATAAAGTAGTGTGATAGTGTCCCCTTCCTAAGTAGATATAAAAACCTTCCCAGTCCAGAGCCCTGTTGTCACTTAATGTCTGCCCCTCCTGCCCCAGCCCTTGTCCAGTAGTCACTGGTGCACTAAGTAGCAGTGCTCTAAATGAATAACATGACAGCCACCAAATGAGAGGGACAACAGCTGCAGTGAATCCACATGACCTCTTATCCTCCCAGCATGGACGCTTTCAAGTCAGCCAAAGAGAAAATGTCAATCTTTCATCTAAGCAATCTCAAAAAGATGAGTTTTTATTTGTTTTTTACTTGGTTTGTTTGTTTCTTTTTTTTAAAATGTGCATTTAGGACACAAAATCATCTGGGGTCTTTAGTAAATAAAATAACATTGTCTGAGCCCCATCCCAGAACCACTTAATCAGAATAATCAGAAGCCTGAATTTTCAACAAGCTCCCAAGGGAGGCTGATGCTGTATTCCTGATACCTGAAATCCACTGCTTTAGAACAAAAGTTCAGTGTAAAAAGGTTTTTTTTTTCATTTAAGGCCTAATCTCTCCACAAAAGGTTCTAAAGAAAGCTCTTATGTAAACTTCCTTTTTAGAAACTCCCCAGACCCAGTCACAAGCTGGCTTTGTTTGGAGCAGTGTGCTGGGAGTCAGTCTTGTGATGGGAGCATCCCATCAACTGATCCATTCATTTGAGATATTGCACATGCAGAGTGACATGGGATGCCTTCCACAGAAGTGCCCTTCTGTCTGGAGAGCTCAAGAAGAGGCTTTCTGAAATATTCCGTACCTGTGAAGAGGGCATGGTAGTGGAGGCCCCTCTCCTTGTCTTGATGGGAGCAGACATCAAACAAGTAGGCTTTGATGGGCCCATCGATGAAGTCAGCAGCAAAATCGAAGAGAACCACACCTATCATGGTGATGCTTACGGCCAAAACCAGTTTCCTCCTTGGGTTAACAATCAAAGCTAAAAGAGAAATAAACAGTAGTCTCCTAAATCCTGCTGTAGAATGATCCACATTTTTAATTTTACCTAAACTTTCTGTCATTAAATCATTTCCCTTCGCTTTCATTTTTCTTTCATTCCTCCAAACAAAAATTTAATTTTTTTCAAATTCTAACAATTATGAAAATGGATAAATGCCCAAGGGAGAGAAGTCTGTAGATAAAAAGTAAGTTACAGATTGCCTAGGACTGGTGCATAGGATGAAAGGACAAGTGACTGCCAATTGGTAATGGGTTTATTTGGGGGTGATGAAACTGTTCTGGAATTAGAGTGCAGTGATGGTTCACACCACCTTGGGAATATACTAAAGAACACTGGTCTGTGTGCTTTTAAGTGAATTTCTGGATACATAAATTATATCCCTCTAAGTAAGAAATTACAGATATTTGTTGTAAACAATACTAGTGCCACAGAAAAAGCTGAAGAAATTTCTTTAACACTTAACCCCAGTGATGGTTTTCTTCTGAGAGGAAAGTGACTTCCGTTTGTTCACTTCTACTCATGCAAATTGGGGTACACAATTGTACCCCAAGCGCAGTGCTTCTCAGCCTCTGACAGCCCCAAGTGATGCTGACACTTTTGCATAGCCCTGATGAATTAGATCGTTCACCACATGCCTAACCTTCCTCAACCAACTTCCCTTACTATTTGCATTTCAGTGAAGGAAAAACCAACCTCCCACTTTTGACAGATAAATAATATTTTTCCTAAGGCTATGCTGCCTCTTACTGATACAATCTGAAATGGGAGATACATTGTTGTTTCCCTTCTTTACAATTTATTTTTTAATCTAAGAATAGTGTATAAGATATATGTGCATGTTAAAAACTTTCCAGTGTAAAATTAAATAAAAATAAGCTTACTTTTCCCTTGTCTCCTCCAGTCATTAGAGTAACTATTTTTATCACCTTGTGGTTATTTCTTCCAGACATGTCCTACATTTATGTATTTGTACTTTCTCTTGAACTGATATAAATAGTACCTGATTACCCTACATCTAATCATCCATTCTGCTGCTCTGAGAGTTAACAAGTCTGAAAAAGAGTCCCTTTTTTAAGTTTAATAGTACTTTTTTCAAACTACTACTACTAATTACTGATTAATTTATAACTGATTAATGGCTAGGAAAAGGGCTTCGCCACCAAATTTGTTGTCCAGAATTTACAATGCAAAAATGTCCCCTTGAGCTGACAGGCTGATGTCTAGGACACATTAAAAAGCTTTACATAAAGCCATGAAAAGAATTAACTCTTATTTAAACACACAGATGATTTACTGAAAATGTTTATGGAACCATTTGGTAGCCGATCAACTCAACAAAGTACTCTACAGGGTATAATGGATTAAAAACAACCCAATTGATGAATATGTAAAAACACTTAATTTGATAAAGTAGATAAATACTTAACACTGTTTTGAAATCCTCACAACAGTCAAAGGCAAAGCACGCTGATGTTTCTAGAAATTGAGTGATCCCCAATCACAGATTTTGGGTCTTTCAAAGGTGGAAGCTCATTGCAATTTAGGAGTGAGCAATACAGCTAATCAATTTCAATCAAATGGCAGAAAACTCCACATTCTCCTCCCACATAAGTGCAACGCTCAATAGCACCCCATAGATTCATTTACCTGATACAACAGCATCTCCATTGAGGTATAAAGCCAAGCCCAATAGCATCATGATGGCCAGGGAAAGGATGTAAGGTCTCCGGCGACCCCACCTGGATCGGCAGTGGTCACTGGCTGATCCTACCACAGGTTGCAGCAGAAATCCTAGGATGGGACTAAGGAGCCACACCACACTGTACAGACTCTTGGGCAGGCCCACGCTGAGCAGCACCGGGGTCACATAGGCTGCTTCCACTGCGTAGCAAAACTCTCGGCCAAACATGGCGAGGCTGTGCATGATGAGTCTGCCCGTGGATCTTCTGGGTGGCACCACAGGCCCAAAGAGGCCATCGTCAGTGAGGGATTGATAGGTGTGGGTGCCAGCCTGCCCACCATTGCTGCCCATGTCCACGGAGTGAGGGAATTTCCTGCTGACCCCACGGTCTGTGCTCCAAGCTGAACTTGACAGGAAACCTGGGCAGCAACCAGCAGAGATGGTCAGGCTGGGGGAGGGCCTCAAATTCTTTCATGCTTCTAAGATCACAAGTTATGATGAAAGGGAAAGCGGTGTTAGTGCTGGAAAGCATGACAAAGATTAGCGTTGTGAACCCTCTGGCTCCTTAGCCTGTGTGCATGTTTTTTTAAAACTCTCTCTCTCTCTCTCTCTCTCTCTCTCTCTCTCTCTCTCTCTCTCTCTCTCTGTCTCTCCCTCTTCCTCCCTGTCTCTCTCCTCTCTCATAACCACACTTGGTTTTGAGACAGCAAAGTCTTTTTTTTTTTAATTTTAAAAATAAAAGGAGAAAAACATTAACAGACAACCTTTTACAAAATAGCAAAAGAACAGTACAGACAATACAGTTAAAAGTGGTAGGAAATTGACAGTGTTTGTTGTATTACACACTGATATCTTCAAAGTGGTTTCTCATGAAAACAGAGACTTGCAATATTGAACAATCAAGGACTCACTGACAGTTTCTTTCAGCAAAGAAATAGAAGACAGTAGAACAACTATGTTAACTATCTTGTATATACATACATACAAAATTTCTCCTTCTTTTCCTTCTCTTTTCCCACATCCCAGTTGCCCTTTACCCTTGAGCGTTTTCCTATCATTTCACAATGTCTATCATACCTCTGAGTTTAAATTAACTCTTTCAGGTTTTACACTAGTGAAACAATGCGGTGCTAGCACATG